GACTAATTTCTCCCATCCTGGGGAGAGAGGGTGGAAGGGCCGCCCAAGTTAGCACCTGCGCGAGGCTCCACAGCGCCCTCTAGAGGCCATCACGTCAAACTGCAGCTCCCAAGTTTTTTGTTTTTGTTTTGTCCCTTTCTCGCTCTGGGGCTGACAGTGTAGCCTCTCAAGTTGGATCTCAGAATCCTAGACCGGGTCTCCTGTTGGATCCTCTTCCTTAGTACTTACAGTGAAGGAGCGTGTCACTAATGCACACACAACAGTTGGGACCCTCCCACGGCCGCATCATTTCCTAGAAGATGTCGGGTTCCATGATTCTGCGCTGGTCTTACATTCTGTGAAAGGACTTCGGTCGGGTCATTCACTTCCTGATTGATAACTAAACAAAAGTCACTATCTAGCCCAGTCCTGGACGTCCTGGTGATCGCAGGTTGAGATTGAACACACAGTCTGGCTTCAGAGCTCACAGAGCCTACACACACACACACACACACACACAAACACACACACACCCCGCCTACACCTACACCCACACCCCCGCCTCCACCGACCATTCCCCATCCCCGCCCCCAAACCCCAAGGTGTTAAAGAACTTCTTTCAAAAACCTAGCTTTTTCAAACACATGGCCCTTGCCGTTTTTTTTTTTCTTCCACACTACAAACCTTTAAAAACAAAACACAAGGCAAAGAATTTCTTTAAAGGACTCACAGGGACCTCTAGTGTTGTGTTCTTGAATCAAAATTATAGGATCTGATGTGGAAATGTACGGACAACCTCAAACCAGCGCTTTGGGTAGCCAATCTCTTACATAAACCAGCGCTTTGGGTAGCCAACCTCTCACATAAATTAAAACAAAATCACGTGTGCCTCAACCGTTTCTTGGGCTTGTAACTAGTCTTAGAAAAAGAGCACTGCATGTGGATATATTTCATAAAATTAAATGCATTGACAGCTGTGACTATTGCTTCTGAGAAAACGTAACATTATTAGTTGATATATGAAGTAAAGAAAGAAGGCTTGCCTATCTAGTATTTACTGAGTGTTAGTGTCAGCTTAAAAAAAAAAAACTATTTTAAGGAAGGCTTTCACTTTGTAGTCCAGGCTGACCCTGAACCCATGATTCTTCTGCCTCAGGCTTCAGTGTGCTGGGTAACTTGGATTCTTTCTACAAATAAAAAGGAAGGGATTGTATTATCCTCCGTTTCGTGGCTGAAAACTCTGTGGCTCCCTCAGCAGACAGCACTTGCTCGACAGGAACCACCTAGCTAAGGCTGAAACCAGCATTTGTACCTAGGCCCATGGGAGAGTCAGGGCGCTTGATTTTGAGATTAACTCTCCTTATGCATTCCGAAGGCTCACAGAGAGGATGCTGTTTGGACTCCCAGTGCATGACGGTTTCTTCTCCATTATCCCTAAGAACAGTGGCAAACAGCAGCAGGCAGGGTGCAAAATGATTTGAGAACATGTTTTTCTAATTTGTTCTTTGTCCTGTGAAGTATTGTCCTTTACAGATATACCACATAGCTCAAAGAAATAAAGAGATGTATTCAAGACAACATGCACAGATCGGGTCAAGACTTGGGGCTCCTGCAGTGTAGTCTAGGTCCCCAACCTTTGGTGACTAAATAAGAAGTGTGTGGTAACTGACCTCAGCACATATATGTAGTATGTTAGACTATCGTTCTCAGAGGAAACTGATTTGGTCAAACTGTTCTGCAATCATCCACCAAATTTTTTTTTAATTACATTTAGTGTGTGTGTGGGGGGGTTTCATGTGCATGTGTGGTATATGTCTGTGTGGTGTGTATCTGTGTGTCAGTGTGCATGCCTCCACACACACATAGGATAGATGCTGAGAGAGCCAACTAAGGGTTTATTGTGGAAGGGCTGGAGACTCTAGCTAAGAAATGTGAGTGCGTATTTATTAAACACCCTCAGAGTTTGAGCCGATGAGAATCTTAACAGATTTTGGTCAGCATTAGTGCTGAGGGCCCAAGCTGGGGACCACAGAACATCTCTAGACAAGACTGTTCCACAGATTGCAGACAAGTTACATGGGGAGGCCTAACTTAGGTGCCTGTCCCTGCTGTTGAAAGACCTGGGTATAGCTTTGGGCTCACAGGTCAATTAGAGCTAAGCATGAGCTGGGATCGCTGTTAAGAAAAAGAAGAACATTCTACACAAAGTTCAGTCCAGGCTGAAGAACTGAGGGTGAAAACCCAGGAAGAATGGAAGAAACCCTGAACCGGCAATTACCAAAGTCCTCAAAGGCAAAGAACTAAATTTAAAGAAAAATAAATATGCTAAGAGGGAAATATTCAATTATGTAAATTTTCTTTGTGGAAAAATTTAAATCTACTGATTTTAAAACAATTTAAAAGGAAAAGTTTTTTTTTACCAAGTCTGTATTGACAACAAAAATTATTTATTGAAATAAACACATAACATTCACTAAAATAAATTTTTAAAAATTATCCCCAAGGGCTCAGTGGTAGGGTGTATACTCAGATGACAGAGGCCCTGGGTCCCACCTTGAGAGGCACCAGGAGATAACTTAAAATGATTCCCAGGCAGGACCATTGGATAACGAGCATAAGCTGACAATTCATAAAGAAGAAAAACAGCTGGCAGAACACCTTAAAATTAACATATTTATTTAATGAGTGTATTGTATGTGGGGTGGTACATGAATGCCGTGGTGCATGGTGGGCACAGGACGATTTTTGTACCATCATATGGGTCCCAGGGATTAAATTCAGGTCACCAGGCTTGACAGCAAGTACATTTACTCACTAAGTCTTCTCGTTGATGCAAACTATTTTATATGTTAGAACCTAAACTCAACAATTTAAATACCACAGTAGTGCTTTCCCCTACTAGCTCCGGCACAGAACAAGCACTGTGACATTTTGGAGATGTTAGTGGATACCAATCCCTAAAAGCAATCTGCAGCATTCTTGGAAATTCCAGAACTTAATTGTTTAGAAAGTAAGGAGAAGGAAGACAAGAAAACTAGGGCGGCGATCCCGTCAGCCTCTGCTTGCTCAGTCTGACCGTCAGTTATCGTGACTTCTCTCAGGAGTACTCTTCAAAACTCTCCAAGTCCTGACAGTTCCCAGGGCTGTCGCTGTACCCCCATCTTGGAAAGGACAATGAAGCACAGGACCTAGGCTCAGTCACTGAGGGCACCCCACTTCCAAACCCACTTCTTACTCAGGAATGAGTAGGACCTGACTGTGAGCATCTTTGTTAGAATCACTGGCTGCAGATAAAACTAAGGAAGAGGAAAGCAGAGTTTTCCTGCTTTGAAGGACTACTTTATTTTAGGAACAGCAAACTCCTCCCCTTTGTTTAGATTGCTCTGATATGAGTCCCTGTGATAGCAACAGAGTCTCAGCACTGGCGCCCTCCTCACTCCCACCCCACATCCCCAAGCAGATGGTTATTTTGTAGCCTGGGTATGAGGAAGCTTTCACAGCTACTCTGTTACCCTTGACTACTGTGGCTTCTCCTCAGGTCATGTAGATCCTTTGCCTTTTACTAAATTACTCTTGTAAACAACTTCTAAAAACATAAGGAACCCAAGACCAAGTGGAAGACTTAGGCGCCTGATTAGCACTCAGCACAACTCTGACCACATGCACGCAAGTCATCAGAGATTGGAAAGAACCACAAAATACTAGCAGCTAGCCTAACTGTAGGGGCCACCTCTCCT